TCTATGGGAGGGGACGAGGGTATTAGTTCATGCTTGCATCTTATTATATGTGTTTTTTTTTTTTGCTTTGTTGCTTAGTTTCTTCATGTAAAAATGTTTGCATTTTAAATTTTCATATGTCCTTTTGAGCTTCTATTGTTCCTTGTTTATTAATATATGCTATCTTTATCCTTTGATATCTTGTCCATTGATAGTATTTTGTGTGAATATTCGTTGATGTCAGTTATTACCTGTTGAGCGTTTATGTGATTTGAACACCTAATTCTTAACCTATCTCCTTCTCTTTTTGATGTTGTCAAAGAGGGAGAAGAGAGTGTGCCAAGCCAAGACAGCAGTTACATACATCAGTTTGATACTTTGAAGAAGTATAGAATGGCAAAAGAAAGACTTTGTGAATTGGGCATTAAGCAAGGGGGAGGCTATTAACAGTGGGCATAAAGCAAGGGGGAGGTTACTAATATTGCATATTACTCACGTTGGCTTCGCACGTTTTGTCATCATAAAAAGGGGGAGTATGTGAGGGCAATTCCTCATATACTATATATACACTTATGTTTCGATGATGACAAAACGCATTCATGGAAGAATTAGTTTCGAGGCAAATGCATGATACACTTCTCATATCTCTCTTGTGTGCATACCATGACTATCTAACTTGCCATACTCAGTCTAATATGTTTGGAAGATCTTTCGTTGAGCTTAGAAGTGAAGGAATCACAAAATTCAGTATTTTTGTAAAATTGCAGGATTTGAGTCGACCACAGGTCGGCGCATAAAACAAGCAAATTCCCACGGGTCGGCGCACACCGACCTATGGTCGACGCATATTGTGAAGATTTTGAATCTGCCTAAAACTGCAGGCTATGCGTCGATGCATAGTCCTGCTATGGTCGACCGTTCGCTCATTTATGCTGTTGCTGAAGATCTTCCACTTTGGTTGAAAAGTTGTTAAGTCTGTTAGTTTGTGGTTATTATATATAGAAGGTTTTTTGTTCTTTTCTTATTAACAATTGAAACTTTGAGTAAATTGCAACCCAACAAGAAAAGTGAAATAGGTGCCATCAAATCTCTTCATCTTCATCCTCAACAGTTCACAACACAACAATTACACACAACAATTCTTGCTATGCTTTGTGGTTTTGTTCAAGGTGATAAGGTCCGAAGCCGTCGATTGGGAATCCAGTTCGGGTTGAGTTTGTGGCAGGTTTTTCTTGAATAAAACCTTGAAGGTTTTGTCCTCCAAGATTCGGAGAATTTGGGGGGTTTTTGGTACGGATCGTCTATACCAACTTTCAGCTGAGCGAAGGTGATTGAGAAGCGGAAGGTTTCGTCAATCTAGTAGCGGGAATCAGTGAAGTGTGCAAGAGAGTTCCAGGTTCGATTTGTGTACGCTTGAGATCATCCGGGCCGAGGGTTTGAAGAACAGAAGGTTATTCAACAAAGGGGCTGCAATCGGAGGTCTACTCACAACGATCGAAAAACTTGATTCGACTCGAATCAAGGAACAAGGAGAGAAAACATCATCAACATCAAGAGAGCTTGTTTGTATATTTTGCTTGTCTATCCTTGTATAAACGTTTCAACTCTACATGTGATATCTATTATATTGAGCTCAATTCTATTATTAAAATTGAGGGCAGACGTACCCCGAAGCGAGGACGGCAGGGAAACTGCCTCAACAAATCTTTGTCTCCTTTATTTTTCTGCACTTTCATTTTTGCTTTAAAATTGAGTAATTTTAGTATAAGCAATTCTATCGAAATTAGTATTGGATTGAGTAAGTGCTTATCACTGTTATAAACTCTAGTACAATAGTATATTGTACAAGAAATCTAGAGTTACTTACTCAAGTCAAAACTCACTTGGAGTGCCTCACACACCAAGTGTTTGATAAATTGTCTACACCAAAATTCACTTGTGTTGTTTACATATTTTTTGGACATTGTGTAGCATTGGAACTAGTCCTACTAATTAGTGGTATAATCAATTGATAGTGTGACTAGTGTGTTGAATCTATTTGCTCATTATCATTTTCATAAGGCTAGACGCATATCCGGTCTTCTAATAACGGTTCGTTATAGACAGTATTTTTCCACGGCCGCTTCCGCATATCAAATATTTTTAAAACCAATTTTTAATTGGTAGCGCCGACTGATTTATTAATTGGGATCTATTCAACCCCCTTCTAGACCCGTGCCATCGTCTAACATAAAACACCTATTATTTAGCATCAATAATTTATTTATTAACATATACTACACTAATTATGATTTATTTGTTTTTATCAGGATAGGAAGCCATAAGCTCCAACTTTCATTTAAAAATATATTACAGAAAATTTTAAAAATGGAGTATATCAAATTTTAAAAAAATAGAAATTTCAAAACTCTTTTTTTTTTTCAAAGATAAATTTAAATCAGCAATCTTCTTTTAATAAAAAATTGTAAAATAAAAGATAAAATTTTAAAGTGAACAAAAAATAAAATAAAAAAACATAAACCCAAACTATTAATTTTTAAAAATAAACAATGAAATAAATAAGGGAAAAAATAACATAAACTAAATAAATATAAAGAAGCTTAGCCCCATACAAAAATTAATACTACTTTTCAAAACTCTTTTTATAATAACAAATTCAATATTTTTTTAAAGTTAATATAATAAAAACATTTCAAATGAAATGAAAATATAGAAATTCCATAATAAAACAGAAAATAATTTAAAAACAATAACTCCATACTCAAAAGGAAAATTTTTCAAAAATCCATATAACAAAATCACAAATAAATAAATAGATTTTAAAGCATTTGTTTAAAATATTTTTTCAAAACACCCCTTTTCTCAATAACACATTCAAATAATCGATATATGTTTTTAAAAAGAAAATTTTTCAAAATGAACTCATTAAATAAGCCATTAGAAAACATCTGTTAATCATTAATAAATAAAAACATTTCAATCAAATGAGGTTTTTATATAAACTCTCAAAAAGTACAATTTTAAAACAATATTACCATATTAAAAAAAGAAAACATTTCAAAACAATTACCATATTAAAAAAAGAAAACATTTCAAAACAACCACTTTTTATTAATAGCTCATATAAAAAATCACAAAAAAAGACAGACCTTTTTATTAATAGCTCATATAAAAAATCACAAAAAAAAAAACAGACGTCTTTACTAAATGGTTAATGTTTTTTTTAAAACATCTCTTTTTTGATCAAAATTGAATTCAAATAAACAAATCTACATTAAAAAAATAATTTTTTAAAATAAACTTAGAAAATAAATAATTAAGACACAAGTTAAGAGTTATATAATTTTTTTTTTTGAAATTTATGCATTGTTTTAATTTAAAGGTAATAATTAATTTTTTATTGATTTTTCCAACATAAATTTTTTAATATTTATTTTTAAGGCACATATTAACATTAGTTATAATTAAAAGAATTATTTTTAAATATTTTTGAAAACTATTAACAAATTAATAACATTTCTTTTAAAATTTGTGGTTAGATGTAACCCAATTTTACATTTTACTTAGTGTAAAATGATAATTTCTCTCACTATATAAATATATAAATATATGTTCAAATTATAGATCTTTAGATTCATATAACACTAAATTGTTAACCTTAGCACAATATTTAAAGAATCAACCTAAAATCTTTGTAAATTTGATTTTTTTATAGTTCTTTTATTATTTATTTATATAATTGTATTTGTGACTAAAAAAACATAAAAGCTTTTACCTTTACCTATGGGACCATAGTAAAGATAACTCTGAAAACAACTTGAGAAAATATGTTTTTGACAATCAATATTTTTTATATTATTTATTTTTGATATTTTTGAATTTCTAACTTTAGAAAGGATGAATTTCTTACATTTTAAAAGTTCATGGATAATAATATTATATTATATAAAATAATAAATATAATTTTAAAAAAATTAATTTTATTATTAAAAGAAAATCGTTTATATACTAATTATGTAGAATATAAAAAAATTATTTAAATAAGATTTTTAGAACACCTATTAACCTAATCAATAGTATACTATTTATTTTGTATGGTGTAGACAAAAGCGTGTCGAAATAACAAAACATTTCTTCTTTAATTTTATTTTATAAAAAAGAAGACATGGTTTTTAAAATTAGAGATATGTTATGAACCGTACAACAAGAGGACAACACAGAGATGCATGAATTTAGGGAAGGATCAAAAAGAGAAAACAACACAACCAAACATGTCTCAATCCATGTAGTAATCTAGATTAGATCAAATCAATATCAAATCTCGTCTCAAAAAACATTTTCCATTATAGAGAATCCAATGTTTCTTAATAATTAATCTAACGGTCTATAATTGCGGCCATACATTACCATCTATGCACCTTAACGTAGAATAAAATATCCTCACTATTTATTATTTTCCCTTTTTTATTACCACTTTCTCTCTATGAATACCCTTTGAACTCTGTCTCTTATTCTTCTCTATCCATCTCTTTGTTTTCTCAGACCCAAAATTTTCTTTGGTTCATTTTTCTTCCTCTTCTCCTCTTAGAGGAGTCTCTGATTCAGCTTACCTCAGGTAATTCTCTCCCTTTTTCTCTTATTCATATGGAAAAGGCTTGTGTTTTTATTCTGATTTTGAAACTTTGCCCTTAAGGTGTTTGTGTTTATTCCTCTATGAATAAAATTTCAAAATTCATAAAACCCTTTTGGATTTCATCATTTGATAATCAAATTTGATGAAAAGAGGTTGTTTTAAGCCTTATAAATCTAATCTCTTTAAGCGGTGGTTGCAAAAATAAATAAATAATAAATCTTTCACCAAATTGAATTATGGTTTTCTTAGATTTGGTTCGATTTTGTTTAGATTTTCATCAACCAAACCAATTGTGAAAAGTGATTAATTTTTTTCCTTGTTTCTATTGATTTTTGCAGGTGTTCTCGTTTAAGATCTTTGGTTTTCAGGTGTGAAAATTGAGAGAAAGATGAATCACTGTGGTTACCAGCAGAAGAACGCCATGAGAAGCTGTGAAGAGATGAGGATGGAATCTGTGGTTTGCCCTAAGCCTCGTAGATTTGGTCTGATGAACAACTCATTTATTAACAATAACAACAACCATATCAGATCATATAAGCCACAAATTATCAGGTATTTCCCATCTTTTATTTAATTATTTACAATTTTTTTCCAACTATTTCAATCAATTTATTTTTGTGAAAATTCTAACTTTCTTACAAATTAATTAGCTACCAATCAGAGCTTGAAGGTTCAGGTGTCATGGAAGATCTTCTTGATATTATTCTCCCCAAGGTTATTTTCTATCTCAATCTTAATTTTTCATGAAAAATTATTTATTTAAAGTATTCTCTCAAGAATGTTTGAAATCAAATAACCATGTTTTCATTGGTGATTGTTGCACAATTACTAAGGAATTATGAACATAATATCTATGTTCATGTTTGGAATCATTGTGAGTTTAATTGGTGGTGAGATCGGCAGAATCAAGTTGATTCATTGGGATTTTGACTAAAACTATACTTTGGAGCTTCACAAAATCATATGGTGCCACCTGGAATTTGCCGAATCGACCTTAAAATTCATTTATTGATTTGTGATTTTGTTGAAGTTATGAAGTATAGTTCTTACTAAAATCAAATTTGTCTAGTGATTCTGTCAAACTCACCCCTAATTCAAAGATGTGATTTAACCAAGCTTGGATTTTGTTGTTGTTGTTGTTGATGATTGAAATAAAATATGACATGTAATCTAAGAGTAATTTGTTTCAATTTGGATTTTGCAGGAAAATAGCTATATGGAAAGATTTGGAGACCAAATGGCATCATCACCACCCCCATTTTTTTGTGGATCTCCACCTAGCAGGGCTTCAAACCCTGTGATCCAAGATGAGCAATTTGGTAATGGCAATGGTCATGGAAATTTTAGTCCATTTTCCATGGCACCCTCTTCACCATCTTCCTCAGCTAGAAGCTGTGTTCCAATGAAGTTTGGTCACAAACAAGCTGCAGTGAGGATTGAAGGTTTTGATTGTCTCAATAGGGATAGGCGCAACCGCAGTATTTCAGCTGTTGCATAATTCATTTCCAACAAAAGAAAAACAAGTTCAAAGAGCAAGTCAAGATTTTTGGTGTCAAAGGAAGCTAATCTTAATTCAATGTTTTATTGTAATATATATGTATATAAAAATGGTCTGTGGAAAAATTGTTAATGAGTTAAGGTGTCATGTAAAATTGAGATGGTGAGTTTTTTTTTTTTTTTTTTTTAATTTTATTTTCAAGAATAAGAAAAAGACAAGTTATATAAGTGAGGAAAAGGGCATGTAAAAAGTCTTGTTCTTTCTCTCTTTGTTAGGTTCATGAAGGGAGAGTTTGTAAAAAAACTCAGCATAGCCTCTTTTGTAATTGTAATTTGGAGGAAAGTGAGGGTTAAATATGTGAAATCTTGTAAAATATTTTTTTTTAGTGGGTGCCTTCTTTGTAGGTGTCACCTATTTGATAATATCAAAGAGATATTTGTTTATACTTTATCAAGCTTTATTTTATGCATTACTCTAGTTTAAAGTCTTGTGATTTTTTTTTTGCCCTCCCTTTTATTAAAAAATGTTACACTTTTATTTATTTGGGTGCTCTCTTTGTAGGTGTCACCTAAAATGATAATATCAAAGAGATCTTGTTTATAGTTATACTTTATTTTATAGTCAAAAGACAAGGTTGAATATATTAATTATACAACTACAACCAGTAACGTGTAGTCATATATGATTAAAGAAACAATACAAATTTGATACCACTATTTTAGGAGAATCTTAGGAAGCTTCATAGTGCATACTATGGTCAGATTTGGAGGGCTTATGAATAATACTAATATTTTAATCAATAAATTGTCCTTCCTTTTTGAAAAGGGTGTTTTATTTGTAGAATGGTGTGAAAGGGTGATTGGAAGCTGTTAATGAATTGGAGCTAATTTGAGATGTGGATAGGTTGATTGAGAAGTTAGAGAGAGAGAGAGAGAGAGAGAGAGAGAGAGAGAGAGAGAGAGAGAGAGAGATAGATAGTTTGTGTGGGGTTAGAGAAGCATATAAAATGAAGAAACGTGTGTTTGTTGTTTTGTTGTAATGGAAAGTAGTTAAGGCGGTGGCAACATGTAGTGTGGTCTTAAGTGTTTGTTTGGTTGTTTCTTGATGGTTTGATATGCCACACCAATATCTATGGTCCAATTTAATTATAGTAGTATATGCTAGATTCTATTTTATGATGCTTAATATATATCATAGATTAACTATTAATTACCATTGATATCTTATCTTATAAAGCAAGAATTTCATATTGTTTTATACTAATAAGATAGCATAATTTTTTTGCTAAGCCCTTCTTCTTTTGGTAAACAAATCTTCTCCGATTCCACACAAAAAAACCTTAGTTGAATTTGTTGTTTTACTCACAAAAATTTCTTTTGAATTTGAGTTTAGTTTCAACGACACCTTCTTTACTACCTTATAAAGTGTATAATATAGAAAATTTGAAAATACTATAAGGAATTCATCTTCTAAGTTCAAACCATAAATTTTGTTTTTAAAGAAGTTAATTTTAAAGATTGGAAGCAATTATAGCTCCACACCAAATATGACTTTTACACATTTTTTCTTTCTTTTTTATGAATTTGAACCTTATTTATCACATAAAAATATCAACGGCATAATAAATTAAGCAATCAATTAGGTTTTGTTTCAAACCAAAAATAAATAATAGATATAATAACTAATTTTGAGTGAATTGAACTTAGACCTCAATATTAAACAATCTCATAAACACTTTTGACATAATTGGATGAAAAAGAATAATGGCGCATACATTCTACTATAGAAAAACATATCAAACTTAAAAGATCAAATAATATATTTTTTTCTTATCGACTTTAGTTAAAAGTTTTTTCTTTTAAAGCAAACTAGGGTATTAATGCGATATATGAGGTATTCAACCCTAATATAAAAGAAAGAAGATAAAGATAGTATTAATTTAAACAACCTAAAAGATTTCTTATCTAATCTATCTTTGTACAAAGAATTTGACCCTTAAATCTAGCCTCGAACGAGTCCCAAAATAACGACTGCCACCAAAACAATTTCTTGGACCCCTTTCACCCCCCATTAAAAAGAGTATCATTTCTAATCAAGCAAACAACTTTAACATCGACTAATCATATAATAATTCTAAGATTTTTTTTCAATCTTCCTTACACTGCAGAATCAAAAAACAAAAAATGCTCAGAGATATCTACCTAAGGACTAAGTCTACACAAACATGCACAATCTAAAATACAATACCAAACTTCTACTACAACTGAACAATTAAGAAACAAGTGATAATGCAATTCTTCTTGGCCTAAACATAATGGATATACGAGGTTATGCACACTTGAAATATCTCCCCACTTAGCTAGCTTATCTCTTTTTTGAAGCCTTTTTAGGAGGAGTCGCCACACAAACACTTGGATGTTACTTGAGACATTTTATTTCCAAATACAATTCAAAACTAACTTCAATTGAGTATCCGGTTCGAAATCAAATTTAAGCAGAGAACTTATTCTTAAAAACAGAGATTTGACTGAGTAGCTATTAACATTGCTCCACCACACAAACTTGTCCGGAATATCCGGTATAGGTGAGACACCATACATGATGTTGAGAAAAATTCTTACTTAAAAGGCTTCGATAGCAGCACACTGCCAACAATATTCCAGTCCCAAACCCTATTACACCATGAACTAGAGTCACCAATTTTTATGTCTAGACTTCTGCAAAATTTCAAACGAAACAAGAAACTGCATACTAAAAGGAACAACCCTAATCTAAAAGTCCCTTAAAAAGTGTATATCTACTTATCTCCCGACTTTGCACGCAATGCACTTATCAAACTAATTACCTTTTTCACCTCGTGAACTCAAATTCATACCTAAATCCCTCCACCATAAAGAAGATTTTGACTTGATGAAAAAAAGGAAGGATCAAGAGTGAAACCTTGATGTCTCCATATTTGAACAAAAGGACCTTATGCAAAATTGAATCTTCCTTTGATAAAATTTTCCAGACCCATTTACTTAAAAGCACCCAGTTGAACGATTCACAATGTTTGACCCTAAGCCCATGTCAACTTTAGAGTTACAAATTAAAGACCAAGTCACCCAATTAATCCTCCTGTGATTTTCACCCCCCCTTCCACAAGAAAACACGTTGGATTTTTATAATCTCTTGAATGACCACATTAGGAGCTTTATAGAAAGAGAAGGAAAATAATCGAGTTAAATTCAAATTTGAGTTAAGTAAAGTCATTCTTCCACCAAGAGAAACATATTTCCCTTTCCTAGAAGTTAATATGCTCCCCAGCTTGTTGAGAACTAGTTCCCATGAATCGCTCCTTCTTAGGTTTCAGCCTATCGAAATACAAATAAAGGTAAACGGGACTAGCACACGCCAGAAAGTACGAGGACACCTTCAAGAAATTCAAGTGGACGTTAAACCCAATAATTTTGCTTTTGTGAAAGTTTTCAAACAAGTCTGAAGACAATTCAAACCCAAGAAACATGGCTTTAATGGACCAAATATTCTCCCAATAAGGTTGTCCCATAATCATCATGTCATCCGCAAATTGGAGCAGATCGAATTAGAGATGATCAGACAAAGAGAATGGATGAAAACAGTTGCTAGAACGCACATTCTTCATTATATCTGCAATCCATTAAACAACCAAAATGAAAAGAAAAAGAGAAAGAAAGTCTCCTTGATGAAGCCATCTCTGTTCTTGGAAGTCAATGACGGGACTACCATTAATTAAAACAGATAGAGAGCTGGAACAAACACATGCCCCAATCGAATTAATCCACTTATTACCAAAATTCATCCTTTTAAGTACATACAACAAATACTCCCAGGAGATGGAATTGAACATTTTTTCAAAATATACTTTGATGAGGAATATGACTTTCCTATTTCTTATGGAAAAGTTAACCAATTCATTGAGCACCCGAACCCCATCAAGCAAACCTCTCTTAAAAATATAGTCAGTATGGCTCGACGAAACTAGCTTGTCCATGACCCCCCTTCAATCTTTCTGCCAACAACTTTGAAATGATCTTGTATATGCCTCCAATAAGACAAATTGGATCATGATTCTTGGGGATTAAATAAATGAACATTGATGACATCGCCTTAGAAAGATGCATTTGTAAGAAAATCGTTAATGCATTCAAATATGTTCAGTTTAATGATATCCCAATTGGATTTGAAAAACTACATAGAAAATCCATTTAAACCCAAGCTCTTTCCTCCAACAGCATTCCAAATGACATCCTTGATATCTTGCAAAGAGAAGGAAACTTCAAGACCATTTCTATCGTCATTGGAAAGCACATTGAAAGGAACACCATTTAGGTTTGTCCTGACAAAGATAAGTTATTGGATCCTTGAAATGATTAAGAGGCAGGATCTTTATACCTTCTACATCATCAATCAGAACATGCCTTACTTTAAGACCCATAATACCATTATAGAGAAACCTAGTTTTCATATAAGAATGAAATAATTTTGTATTATGGTCTCCATCCTTTTACCACATTCACCTAGATTTTTGTCTAAGCATGGATTCCCGAAAATACAATTTTTCCCAAACCAAATATTGAGACTCACACCTTCTCTCAGGCACCTCAAAAATTAAAGTAGATTCATCTTTAAGCAACAAACTATCCAACTGGCTCAAATCTCTAACTATCTCCTTAACCTCTAATTCAAGCTTTCCAAAGACTACTAAATTCTAGGATTTCAACCTTACTTTAGGGAGCTTAAGCTTTTCCTTGAAAACAAAAAGCTTTTGACCCATTACATTCGCAGAAGACCGCACATCTTCAACCAACAATAAGAATTCTCGATGTTCAATACAAATGGAGAAATCATATAGTAGTCAAAGATACTTTTATTGTCAACAAATTGCACATAAACCTCACAAGTTAATCAGGCATTTAGAGACCAAAAAAATGATCCAGTTTACTCATTGAATCGCCTTCCAGATTAAACCAATAGAACTT